CACCCTCCTTTCCCTTCTCTATTTCATCACTGGATACCATCTCTCTAATCCTGTGTGCTAAGTTTTAAAGGAGGCACGTTTTGCAGTAATTCCACCAAGGAGAATAGGCATTTCATTGAATTTAGACAGTTGTTGGAGAAAATTTAAAAAGATAATCCAGAAGGAAGGTAAATTCTGAGAGGACAGAAGCAGTCCCCTCTTCGCAGAACGTCTCCTCTCACTTTCAGGATCGCCGGACGTCCGCAGAGACCAGCTTCTCCACTAAAAGTGACTGGAGATTAATGGAAGGGGCGGTTGGCCAGTCGCAGCGATGCATACATGGTGTATACGAAACAACACTTGAAAGAAAAAAACGCTTAAGGTCTAAAAACATCATTATGCAGAGAATCTGAACACTTCATTTACCATTTAAGAGCCTCTAGAGATCCGCATACAGATTTGTGCATATGAATATAGTAGGTCAGCTTATTTGATGACCAAGCTTTAAAGAGGAAAGAATGCACTAGTACCTTCTGCACACCAGGGGGCGGGCTATATTAGTTCACTCCACTGCCTTGGAATTTCTAAAATCGGTTAAGTTCTTCCCTTCACTCTTCGTTTTCTTCGTCACTACCTTGACCTTTGGACTATTGTTTAAAAATTCCTCCTAGTCTCTCCTTATATCATTATTCTGGAGCCCCAAAACTTGAAGCTAGCTGAGAGTTTCTACTTTAAGTATCATTTATAGGACCACTGAGAACCATTTTAAGATTGGAATAAAATTCTTCAAACTTTTAATTCATTGTTTCTAAGCCTAACCTCTTTGTTCTATGAAGCTTGACATTTCTGTACAGTACTGCAAATTGGGATGAACACGACCTAGTTTTCTGAGACTTACTTTCTTCAGATGATTTTACTCTACTTTTAGATCTCATTAAGAACAAGTCAATTAAAATCAGTGACAGATTAGAAATCAAAAAGCACATTAAAAAACAATCTTGGAATGCAGCACAGTGGCTTAACCAAAAATAGTAATTAGCAATAATATTTTCCTCTTCGTTATTAAAAAACACAGAAAATTTGAAGGTACTATCACATACTTCTTGGTGAAAAAAGGTCCCACTGCGCCTGGGGTGGTGTTGCACAGCTGTAATTTCAGCATTCTGGTAGGCAAATGTATAAGGATTATGCGTTCAAACCCTGGTTGGGAAATTTAGTGACTTAGCAAGACTTTTTCTCAAAATGGGAGTTTTGAATGGGGATTTAGCTTAGTGGAATTATCCCAGAGGCAATCTACTCAGATGATGATAGAGATAGATGATAGATAGATAGATAGATAGATAGATAGATAGATAGATAGATAGATAGACAGATCTAGTACCAGGCATATAGTTCAGTGCCACAACATCTGCCTGCCAAGCACAAGTTCCTGAGATTGAGTCCTAGTACAAAAAGGAAATAAAACTATTTCTATCTAGGTAGAATAAAATATCTACCTAGATAACTAACATATGTAAAACTTTTATAACCTATAATAAATTCAAATTGAATACAAGACTTTTTCTTATTCTTCCTTGATGTATGATGTCAAAGTTTGAATGTATATTGCATTTATAGTCTGGAGAAAAGA